AAGTCAAAAGTCATTATGACATGCATTAAATGCCATTTATGAACTAAGGCAAAAAATAATGATGAAGAACCCAATCTTATCCAAGCCTTATTGGTCCAATTTCTCTCTCTCTCTCTCTCTCTCCCTCTTGGCTTCTCTCTCTCTCTCCTTCTCGGCTCCTCTCTCTTTGGCTGATTATTGGCCTTGCTTGGACTCATTATGGGTGACTATGAGTCACCATGAGCCATTAAACGAACCATTATGAAGGGCACAACTCAGCACTTTGGCATTAAATGAAGGGGACACATAAGCTAGTCACCAATAATGGAGGCCATTCTAGAGATAAGCTTGACTTGGTCGACTCTCTACTTTCTAGATCCTTCTCAAAGCTGGCCGTGACACCCTATTCTGGTCTCCCGAAGCTGTTGATTTCACCCGAATTTAGCTTGGTTGATCGGCACCATAAAACTGACTAATCGACACTTAAATCTCAAACCCCCGCATCATATTAACTCTCATAATTTCCAAGGGTTGTCCACGCTTAGTGGACCTGTTCAACCTGGGGTTTGATGCGAGAATATCCCAAAAAACCATCTAACATAACCAAACCAAGGCCCAAGCAAAATGGAACGAGCCTAAGCAAACCGGGTTGCTGGGCGCATGGCCGGGCCTGACCGGGCGCGTGGCCGGGCGCAGTACCGGGCCACACGGGCACACGGCTGGGCCACACTGGCACATGGCCGGGCCGCACGGGCGACGTGCCGAGTGCCTTGCCGGCCGCATGGGCAACGTGTCGAGCACCATACCTGGTCACCCGAGCGAGGGGTCGGTTCATAGCCAAACACGCGCAACGGCTCATGAATGACATGATGCATGGCTCATGGCCATATTTCTTGGGCACAGGACGAGATCAGAACCGAATCTTATGGGCACAATGCCTGGCACAAGGGTCAGGCACAATGGCCGGCATACAACCAGACATGTAGCTGGTCCGTGGCCTGGCTGACGGGCACGATGGCCGGTCATGACCGGGCACATGGCCTTGGCACATGTCTCGTCCATGGCCTACCCAACTCAATGCAACGATCCATGGTCGATTCGCGATCGAGTCACGTTCGAGTATCAACGATCCATGGTCGACCCTCGGTTGTCATGTAGCCTTGTAGAATCTAGTACCCCGGAATTAACTCATGGTCATCCGGGACTAATGCATGGCCGTGAGGTATCACCACGACCGACACATGTCGATACCGGACTGATCCTTAGCTATCCCGGACCGTTCCACTAACGGCCCTTATGGTCGATGGGTCACTTCACAGTCATATTACTCTAATCGTTTGCGTAGTCAAGGGGTCATTCCACTGTCGATCCCTAGGCCAACTCATGGATAATCTTTCGATCGAACCATGACCAACCCTCAGTATACTCGTTCCGATTATACTGTCCATTCCATTACCGACCCTCGGCTTGAGTTACCCGCTCATCCATTTATTACTAGCCCTCGGCTTCCTAGGTCCGAAATCAGGGATGCCACAATTCTCCCCCTCTAATAAAATTTCATCCTCGAAATTAAAACACGTACTTGGTTCCTCGAACAAATGCGGATACTGCTACTTCATGATTTCCTCACCTTCCCAAGTAGCTTCCTCTATGCCATGGTGTCGCCATAGGACCTTTACTACAGGAATAGTTTTATTTCTCAACACTTGCTCTTTACGATCCACGATCCGCACAAGCTCCTCAACATAGGACATTCTGCTGTCCAATTCGACCTCGTCGAAATTCAGCACATGTGCCGAATCGGGTTCATACTTTCTCAACATGGATACATGAAACACATCATGCACCTGAGCAAGTTTCGGTGGCAGCGCCAACCGATAAGCAAAATTCCCTATTCTTTCTAAAATTTCAAAAGGTCTTACGTACCTGGGGCTCAGCTTACCTTTCTTTCCAAAACGCGACACACCCCTCATGGGTGACACTTTGAGAAACACGTGGTCGCCTACTTGAAACTCTAGAGGCTTCCTACGTCTGTCAGCATAACTCTTCTGTCGGCTTTGGGCAGTTCTTAACTTATCTCTAACTACTTGCACAACCTCATTGGTGAGTTGTACTAGCTCTGGACCCGTGACCTTCTTTTCCCCGACCTCATCCCAACAGACTGGAGTCCTGCAAGCTCGACCGTATAATGCCTCGAATGGTGCCATCTCGATACTTTGCTGGTAACTGTTGTTATATGCAAATTCGATGAGGTGTAAATGTTTATCCCAACTCCCTTTGAAATCCACGACGCATGCTCGTAACATATCCTCAAGGGTCTGGATAGTTCTTTCTGTTTGGCTGTCTGTCTATGGATGATAAGCTATACTGTATTGCAACTTCGTTCCCATAGCGGTTTGGAGACTTCGGTAGAAAGTTGCAGTAAACTTTGGATCTCGATCAGATGTGATCATTACTAGGACCCCGTGTAGTCGTACAATATGGCGAACATATAACTCGGCATAACCTTCCAATGGAAGGTCCTTTCTTACCGGAAGAAAATGGGCTGATTTTGTTAGTCGATCAACAATTACCCATACGGAATCATGTCCTCTTTGACTTCTCGGTAATCCCATTACGAAGTCCATCGTAACGTGTTCCCATTTCCACTTAGGAATTTCCAACGGTTGCAATAATTCGCCAGGCTTGCAATGTTGAGCCTTGATTTGCTGACACGTCAAGCATTTAGCCACATGTTTGGGTATGTCCATCTTCATGCCATTCCACCAGAAATGTTGTCGCAAATTCTGGTACATTTTGGTACTGCCTGGATGAATACTGTAATTGCTCTTGTGAGCTTCCGTCAAAATTTCTTCCTTGAGTTGTTCATCCTTTGGCATGCATAAGCGTCCATTAAACTTCACGATTCCATCACCAGTCACATGAAAATTGGATTTCTTCTTTTTTGTTAACTCCTTCTGGATTTTCTAAATTTTCGAGTCTGTTTGTTGTAACACCTTGACTTTCAATATGATGTCCGGCTCGATTCTGAGAGTGGCCAATAAATTCTGATGATGTCCAACTTCTAGCTTGAAGTCCTAGTCCCGAGTTTCCTCAAGTAAGGTCCATTCCTTGACCATCAAATGGGCGATGGCCGATTTTTGACTAAGAGCATCGGCAACTTTGTTTGCTTTGCTAGGATGGTACAATATTTCGCAGTCGTAGTCTTTGAGAAGCTCCATCCAGCGTCGTTGCCTCATATTCAGCTCCTTCTGGGAAAATAAATATTTCAAACTCTAATGATCCATATAGATGATAAATTGCTCCCCATATAAGTAGTGTTGCCAACTTTTCAAGGCAAACACGATTGCAGCAAATTCCAGATCATGAGTTGGATAATTCAATTTGTATGGCCTCAGTTGTCTCGAGGCATAAGCCACCACTTTTCCATCCTGCATCAATACACAGCCTAGCCCTTTGTGAGAGGCGTTGCTGTATATCTCAAATCCTCCTGGTCCTTTAGGTATAGTCAGAACATGAGCAGTCATTAGCCTTCGTTTCAATTCTTGGAAGCTTCGCTCACATTTGTCAGTCCATTCAAATGTCGTTTCCTTATTTAGCAATCATGTTAAGGGGATAGCGATGCTAGAGAATCGTTCCACGAATCTTCTATAGTATCTTGCCAAACCCAAGAAACTTCGAACTTCGGTGATAATCGTTGGTCTTGGCCAATTAATTACCGCTTCTATTTTAGATGGATCCACTGATATGCCGTCTCCCGAGATCACGTGGCCGAGAAATACTATGCGAGATAGCCAGAACTCGTACTTGCTGAATTTTACATAAAGTGCGTGTTCCCTGAGAGTTTGAAGTACGAATCTCAGATGTTGTTCATGTTCAGCCGAATTCTCCGAGTATACCAGGATGTCATCAATAAAGACTATGATGAAACAATCTAAGTATGGCTTGAACACTCGATTCATCAGGTCCATAAAAGCAGCTGGAGCATTCATCAAACCGAATGGCATAACGGTGAATTCATAATGGCCATATCGGGTTCTGAACGCCGTCTTCGGAATATCCTCCTTCTTGATTCTTAGCTGATGATATCCCGACCTTAAATCGATCTTGGAAAACACGGATGCTCCATGGAGTTGATCAAATAAATCATCGATTCTCGGCAGTGGGTACTTATTTTTTATAGTAACTCGATTTAGCTGTCGATAGTCGATACAAAGTCGCAATGATCCGTCTTTCTTTTTCACGAACAATATTGGTGCACCCCAGGGAGATGCACTTGGACGGATGAAGCCCTTATCAAGTAACTCTTGCAGTTGCACTTTGAGTTCTTTCAACTCGGTCAAAGTCATCTTGTAGGGAGCTTTGGAAATAGGCTCCGTTCTAGGAACTACTTCAATAGCAAATTCTACTTCCCGTTCCGGAGGTAGACCTAGTAATTCCTTTGGAAAAACATATGAAAATTCCTGTACCACCAGGATATCTTTTAACTTTGGTTCGTCTTCCTTTGCTGTATTTTCTATTATTGCCAAAAATCCTTGACAACCTTTCTGCAACAGTCGAGTTGCTTCTAAAGCAGAAATTAGAGGAGTAGAAGGTCCTTCTCCATTTCCCACAAATGTATAGCATGGGCGATCAGGTCGATGAAACTGAATCACCTTGCTATAACAGTCGATATTGGCTCGTTGTTTACTAAGCTAATCCATACCAATGATAACATCAATATCATACATGGCTAGTACCGCTAGATTTATAATATCCGCCAGTCTACCTATAATTATCTTACACCCTTGACATCCTAGGGTAGTCTGCACTTCATTTTTCATCGGAGTAGAAACACTAAGTGCATTTTCTAACGGTTTCATCTCAATCTTGGCCAGACGTACAAATTGGCTAGATACGAATGAATGTGTAGCTCTAGTATCAATTAATGCATATGCAGCACGGTTATTGAGGAAAACCATACCTGTGCTCACTGCGTCGGAGTTCTCAGCATCCTCTTGAGTAAGTGCATATATTCGTCCTTATGCCGGAGGATGATCGCCGTTGTTAGCACGAGGTTGAACTCCAGTCGATGATGTCGCCTGTCTTTGCTGTGAAGGTATATTCTTTCGCCGTTGCGGACAGTCCCTGACCATGTGACCTTGTTGGCCATACTTGAAGCATGCTCCCGTACGAATTGGGCACGGGGCATCGCCATGCTGTCTTCCGCAAACAGAACAAGTATTGCCAGAAATATTGATTGGCTGCTGGAAATTTCGCTTCTTGTTGGAAACAAATGGACGTTTTCCCCTTGTCACTGGCCTCTTGCCCGAACGTTGATCCATTCGGGGAGTAGAATAATAAGGTCTTGTCGGAGTCGCCCTCTTCAGCAAATCTTTCTCAATCAGTTGAGCTCGTTCATATAATTTGTTATAATCTTTCAAGTTCAGAGGTACTAACTGACTCCGGATGTCAGGTTTGAGACCATCACGGAATCGTTTTGCCTTGTCAACTAGATTTTCAATGAGTCTCGGGGTGTACCTCGATAACTGAGCGAACCTTACTTCATACTGGTCCACCGTCATATTTCCCTGCTGGGGTTGCAGAAATTCTTTTATCTTCCGATCACGAGCACACTCGGAGAAATACATCCCGTTGAATGCCTCAACGAAAGCATTCCAATTCACAGTAGCATTCCCTAGGAACGCGGTTTCCTTAGTCGCCTTCCACCAATAGCTGGCATTTCCTTGCAGTTGATAGGCTGCTAAGGTGACTTTCTCTTCCTCGAAACATCCCAGAAGTTCAAATGCCTTTTGTAATTCATCTATCCAGGATTCCGCCTCTTCAGAATCTTCGATTCCAGCAAATTTTGGGGGTCGCAGCTTCAGAAATTGCTCGACTAATCCATGCATCGTACGGTCACCATTCCCATTTTCATTTGCCGCTGTATTCTCAGCATTAGGTAGCCATTGTTGCACTTGTTGTCCCAGCAAATCTCCTACGGTTGCAAGAGCTTGCAGAATTTCGTCTATTCGGGGATCTTGCTTCGATTTTCCTTTCGAAGTTGTGGCCGGGTCCTGAGCACTTATACTGCCGTTGGTAATCTACTATGCCTTTCTACAATGCAAGAATATGTCAGCGATCAAAAGCTTAGCAACCAAAGGCCTACTTACCAATCAATCAGGTACACAGACACACAATCACATGCATAGGTGTTTTCCTGGCTAACTACCCCACTTCAGCGCACCTTATCACTCCAGACCTTTATTTCCGCTTGGCTTTCAGAACCGTTTTCCACATTTCGGTGCACAGTTTGGAAATGATTGTTCTTTAACCGTCCTAGAAGCCTGCCAGGAGCCGCTCAATGATCAGGCCCTTCACCCCGGCACCACTTCTTTTCAGAAGCCGTTCAATGATCAGGTGGTATATATACCCCGGCACCACTTCTTCCCAGAGGCCGCACAATGATCAGGCTACCTACCCCGGCGCCACCTCGGTCAAAAGCCGCACAATGATAAGGTATTATTGCCCCGGCACCACCTCCGTAGAGGCCGCTCAATGTTAGGCATTCATGACCCCGGCGCCACCTCCTAAGAGGCCGCTCAATGTTTAAGTCGTATGGCCCCGGCGCCACTCCCCGCCCTCGTCGGATCGTCCAATCGCAAGTTGGCATGAACTGCACCTACTTAAGGGAAAACCTGCTATGATACCAAAACAAAGATACCTATACTGTCACGTTCCGACTCGGAATCATGATCGATGCTTAATGACCGAACATGACTCGAACGGACCCGTGACTCGCGGAAATAAATTAGTTCGTCCCGTTTATTTTAAACAACCAAATGCGCATGCGAAAGCAAATAAACAATAAACGAGACAAACGAGAGTGAGATAAGCAAACATTGCACGTTGTATTTACATGATACATGCTTATTTTTGTCGAGCCCTTCTTTGCTGGCCCTTACAAGCCACGCACATATTTTACATGCCCATTCCAAGGGCGGTTCCGACACAAGCCACTATCGAACAACAAAACTTGGCTTGGTTGCCTATTCCCACTACGGTTACTCCTTAGCTTCTCGCTCCTCGCTCCTCCATCTCCTCGCTCCCGTTCCCTCGTTCGGTGGTCGAACTATGCCCCGCCCGCGGCTTGCCCAGGAGCCGGCCCACCCGTGCCACGAATGGCCCCTCAAACCCACGAAGGGGTCCAATCCAGTCTCCATTTGCTAGCCGATACTAGGCCATGTACGTGTGGAGGACTAGTTCAGTGCGGCCCTCATCCACCATAACATACGTCGTAATGCAACGGTACGCGCGGCTCTCTTGTGCATCAATAACGATAAGTAGCTCCACTCTCATCTCAATGGGGTTTCCAAACCGGGTCGGGGGAGTCGCCATCTACGGACCTGAAAAAGGGAAAAACAACGGGAGTGAGTCAAAGGACTCAATAAGTGAAAACTCTAATATCAAGCGAGGACGAGACAATGACGGTTCACACAAGTCGACTCTTATCGTACCGGCATCGATGGCAATTCAAATAGCAAAGCTCATGCTACGAAACCAACAAAACAAACATCAAAACATAAGCATCACACGTGAGCATCATTAGTCGAGAAAGAACAAACTATAATCAACCATGAAACCAAGAAACGGGCCAAGCAACCCATGTTACAATGTATCGCAACTTCCTTTCTCGATATTAGGGAATTCACTTACTCAACGACTAACAAGAACTAGAGAACGGGTTAGAGACGGGTGAGCTCGGGAAATTTTCGGGCTTTCTCCTTACTTGGCCAACCAATACTAGGCACACAAAGGCCGAACCGTAGGCTCTTGGGCGGAAATGAGGAGAAACACGGGCCGGTTCGGGACTTCTTGGGCATGAACCTTCTCGGGTCAAGAAGTGAGAAAAATAAGAAACAAATAGAGAGGAAGGTGATGGTGATGTTGGCGTGAGAAGAAGAAGGAGGGAGGGGGTTTCATGCCATTTATAGAAGCCTTGGAATACCTTAGAATAAGCCAATAATGGAGGTGCTTCTAAGTCAAAAGTCATTATGACATGCATTAAATGCCATTTATGAACTAAGGCCAAAATAATGATGAAGAAGCCAATCTTATCCAAGCCTTATTGGTCCAATTTCTCTCTCTCTCTCTCTCTCCCTCTCGGCTTCTCTCTCTATCTCCTTCTCGGCTCCTCTCTCGGCCTCCTCTCTCTTTGGCCGATTATTGGCCTTGCTTGGGCTCATTATGGGTGACCATGAGTCACCATGAGCCATTAAATGAACCATTATGAAGGGCACAACTCAGCACTTTGGCATTAATTGAAGGGGACACATAAGCTAGGCACCAATAATGGAGGCCATTCTAGAGATAAGCTTGACTTGGTCTACTCTCTACTCTCTAGATCCTTCTCAAAGCTGGCCGTGACACCCTATTCTGGTCTCTTGAAGCTGCTGATTTCACCCAAATTTAGCTTGGTTGATCGGCACCATAAAATCGACTAATTAACAGTTAAATCTCAAACCCCCCATCATATTAACTCTCATAATTTCCGAGGGTTGTCCACGCTTAGTGGACCCGTTCAACCCGGGGTTTGATGCGAGAATATCCCAAAAAACCATCTAACATAACCAAACCAAGGCCCAAGCAAAATGAAACAAGCCCAAGCAAACCGGGTTGCTGGGCGCATGGCTGGGCTTGACCGAGCGCGTGGCCGGGCGCAGTACCGGGCCACACAGGCATGCAGCTGGGCTACACGGGCACATGGCCGAGCCGCATGAGCGCTGCGCCGGGCCGCACGGACGACGTGTCGAGCGCCTTGCCTGGCCGCACGGGCGACGTGCTGAGTGCCTTGCCGGCCGCATGGGCAACGTGTCGAGCACCATACCTGGTCACCCGAGCGAGGAGTAGGTTCACGGCCAAACACGCGCAACGGCTCATGAATGACACGATGCACGGCTCATGGCCATATTTCTTGGGCACGAGAAAAGATCAAAACCGGATCTTTTGGGTACAATGCCTGGCACAAGGGTCGGGCACAATGACCGGCACATGACCGGGCACGTAGCCGGTCCGTGGCCTGGCTGACGGGCACGATGGCCGGTCATCACTAGGCACATGGCCTTGGCCGTCGCGACTGGAAATTTTGCCCGGGCCACGACTAAGCCACTAGGCACATGGCCTGGAACATGTCTCATCCATGGCCTACCCAACTCAACGAACGATCCGTGGCCGATTTGCGATCGAGCCACGTTCGAGTATCAACGACCCATGGTCGACCCTCGGTTGTCATGTAGCCTCGTGGAATCTAGTACCCCGGAATTAACTCATGGTCATCTGGGACTAATGCATGGCCGTGCGGTATCACCCGCGACCGACACATGTCGATACCGGATTGATCCTCAGCTATCCTGGACCGTTCCACTAACGGCCCTTATGGTCGATGGGTCACTCCACAGTCATATTACTCTAATCGTTTGCGTAGTCAGGGGGTCATTCCACTGTCGATCCCTAGGCCAACTCATGGATAATCTTTCGATCGAACCATGACCAACCCTCAGTATACTTGTTCCGATCATACTGTCCATTCCATTATCGACCCTCAGCTCGAGTTACCCGCTCATCCATTTATTACTAGCCCTCGGCTTCCTAGGTCCGAAATCGGGGATGTCACACCTTTTGACAAATTATCCCCTTTTAGGGAATTTTGATACTTAAGCTGCACATGGCAACTTGCCAAATAATATTTGATTCTGTTCTTTTGTTCCCATAATCAGTTTGGGAATAGAAATCTATTTGTTTAATTTTTTGATTCTAGGCACAAATTCTTGCAAATTTGTGCCCAAAATCAGTTTTGGAGCAGAATCAAGAATAAAAAAAAAGTAGCTTCTTGATTCTGGGAACAAAAATGAGAATCAGTTTTTTTTTCTTCTTCTTTTTCTTGGTTTTTAATATAGCTTCTAATGTCCAGCGCGAGGGCCATCCTCGCCGTATCTGGCGAGATTAAAATATTTTAATAAAAAATATTATTAACAAAAAAGTTTTACCGGCCATGGCCAGCGACCAAGCCATGGCGAAAAAAATAATGAATATATTATTAATAAAAAAATTTTACCGGCCATGGCGAAAAAAATAAAAAAATATATTATTAATAAAAAAAATTTTACTGCCCATGGCCAGTGACCAGGCCATGGCGAAAAAAATAAAAAAAATATTTTCAATAAAAATATTTTTTATTAAAAAATTATTAATAAAAAAATATTTTACCGGCAATGGCCATCGACCAGGCCATGGCAAAAAAAAATTAAAAAAAATAATTTCAATAAAATTTTTTTTATTAAAATATTATTAATAAAAAAATATTTTACCGGCCATAGCCAGCGACCAGGCCATGGCAAAAAAAAATAAAAATATATTTTAGTAAAATATTTTTAAAAAAATTATTTAATAATAAAATTATTTATAGGAAAATTTTTTACTAGCCATGGCCAAAAAAATAAAAAAATTATTTTTAATAAAAGTATTATTAATTAAAAAATATTTTACTGGCCATGGCCAGCGACCAGGCCATGGCAAAAAAAAAAAGAAAAAATTATTTTCAATAAAAAAATTATTTAGTAAAATATTTTTTAAAAAAATTATTTATAAGAAATTTTTTTATCGGCCATGGCCAAAAAAATAAAGGAAAATTATTTTTAATAAAAGTATTATTAATTAAAAAAAATTTTACTGGCCATGGCCAAGAAGGAGGAGAAGAAAAAAAGAAAAGAAAGAAATATTAAAATATTTAAAATATTATTAAAATATTATTAATAAAAATAAATTTTATGCCGTTACCAAACGCATTTATGTTCTTTTACTATTTCAGGAATAGAAATTTTGGGCCGTTACCAAATGCCTTCAAGTGCTCAGA